AAGAAGGACTTGTATCGCTGAAGGTCCTCCGAAAGAATTTATACCGGAAATTAATAAACGACCAGATACGTAACAGTACTTTCGTAGAATTTTGGGCCTAACACTACAGTCACTGATTATGCCAATCAAGCCATTAAACAGTGTCAGCCAAACGTGTTTTACCAAATTATAAAAAGAAATTATTAACAAATGTCTTGTATTATAATATATATATATATATATATTAATGTCTATGTATAATAAGAAACAATTTGCGAAATAACGCTACGCCAATGCACAATAATACTGGATCAATATTTCGATCTTTAAAAAAGTATTTAAATTTTTACGATTGTTTTAAACAATTGTTAGAGGAAAACTTGTACAATTATACATAAAAAATGATAGGTCAGTTTGTCCAACGACAACCATAAGTCAACTTCTAACTCGCTCATTTCAAATCTTAACTTCTTAACTCATATGTATAAAATATTTTCCAAAAAAATGAGTAAATCTGAATGATCTTAATAGGCAACTGTTAGATTGAGCTTCTATCGAGATGGTTAAATGTGCTACAGTTTTGTAGATCATGAAAATGCTGTAGTCGTACAATTAACAGTCATCAAACCTATCCTACAGAGCAAGTTAAGAATATTCTAGCTGAACACAACTTTCAGTAAACCAAACCATAGAAACCAGCGAGAAAGAAATCAAGAAACTAAATAACTTATAAAACTATCATATCTTAATGACACAGAAAACAAAGCTATCTTAGTAAGGCACAAAATTATGTACCTTGGCAACTCGAGAATTTTATTGCTCAGTGCTTGATTAAACAGCTAAACAGTTCAGACAACGTACTGTATTTTAATCTAACAGTGAAGTGTCACCAATCCTTGCACGTAATCTCTTTTAACTATAAAGTTTCATTTATTTGTGTTGGTTTTAGTTTTTTTATAAAGCAAAATGTAGTTTTGGTTTTGAAGCTGGAAAAGTTTTAAAAACGTGCATGTGTGTTAAATTCATATAAGGTCGAATATTAGTTTCATCTCATTATCTTGCATGCTGAGAAACTGAAAACTACTTACTTGTTGGATAGATGATGCCATAAATATAAAGTAGACACAACAAAACCCATACTGAGTTAAGATTAGGAAAATGTTGACGATCTGTCTGGAAAGGAAAAAAAACTTTAAATGATTTGAGAAACACTGGTACCAGTAGTTCAAAGGGTAATTTTTAAATCAAAACTTGAAAATACTTACTGTTTGTGGAGAAATTGTATCGCTGAATTCTGCTTTTTAAATCAAAACTTGAAAAGACTTGCAGCTTGTGGAGAAATAGTATCGCTGAATTCTGCTTTTTAAATCAAAACTTGAAAAGACTTACAGTTTGTGAAGAAACGATAAAGCCATATCCTGCTGGCTTACAGTTTGAAGTGGTATCGTCGAATTTTAGAAGAAAACAATTGTAATAATTTTACTGTACGTAGTACAATAATCGTAAAAACCGGATAGTTTCAGTTCTAGGCAGAATTTGACCACAAAAAATTAGACGTCGTTCAGGTTTGTGAATGTCATTACTGTTGAATATATATATTCAACTATAAGGCTGCATATCCATAAAAAGAAACAAATGCCTAGAAAAACTAGAGTAGTATGGCATGACGTCTTCAACAAAATGTAAATATCAAAGTGAAAACTCTGTGATATTTAGTTGGAACTGCAAATTAAAAGAAATTCTGGTAGTTATTAAACTGAAGGTAGTTTAAATAGCAGAACTTAGCGATACTTTTTCTCTTCAGTGCTCCAATTTTTGGATCACGTAAAATACAGAAACTTTGCTGTGTCCTTAAACTTAGTACCTTACCTAGGTTTAACCGTATGTTCATAAACAAATTTAAACACATACATAATTTAAATATAAACTTAAGTTATAGTGCGTAAAAAACTAACCTGTTTATGCATATTTTTGAATATTATCCATGATTAACTACAGAAAAAAACTGGATGTGATTTAATAGTTAATTAACTAGTTACGTATTTATTGAATTATGTTACGTAATACAATTACTTTTCTAAACAGCATACTAAGTTTTAAGTCACTGTTGTTACATTTAGTACATTTCTGTAGAAGTATGCACTGCGCATGAGTCTGAACAGAGCAAGAGACTTAATGAGAAACCCGTGAAATAAGATGTGGTCAGTTCGTTATATCGCATGTGGGAAAACCCGTGAAATATGTGATCAGTTTGTTATATCACTGTATGCTTCAGTTGTATGGATCAGACTGATGAACTTTGATCCTTATGCTATATCGTTGTAGGTGCCTGTTTTAAAAATGTGTGTAAGCCCAACATGTTAACGTTTTGTATCTTTAATCATAGTTATTAGTACAATTTCTGCTGAGCAGCCTGGGTTCGAGGCTTCAGTTTACGAACAACAGCAAAATATAAAATTTTTAATTTGTAGTTTAATTATTTCGTTTTTAGTTGCATACGTGAAATATACGTACAAGTGGATGTGTTATCGCAATAGCAGTTAGTCTTAAAACACGTAGTTCTTGTCTCCTAGCGTATTGTTGTTCTTTTCTAGCGCATTGTTATTGTCTCCTATCACATTGTTGTTGTATCCTAGCACATAGTTGTTCTTTCCTAGTACATTGTTGTTGTCTCTATCACATCGTTGTTGTCTTCTAGCGCATTGTTGTTGTCTCCTGTCACATTGTTGTTCTCTCCTATCACATTGTTGTTGTCTCCTATCACATTGATGTTGTCTCCTATGGCATTGTTGCATCTTCTAGCACACTGTTTTTCTTTCCTAGCACATTGTTGTTGTCTTCTAGCGCATTCTTGTTGTCTCCTATCACATTGTTGTTGTCTCATAGCGCATTATTGTTGTTGTCTCCTAACGCACTGTTGTTCTCTCTTAGCGCATTATTGTTGTTGTCTCCTAACGCACTGTTGTTCTCTCTTAGCGCATTCTTGTCTTCTAGTGCGTTGTTGTTGTCTCCTAGCACAATGTTGTTTCTCATACAGTAAATACGTAATGACCTAACACTATCTTACTTAATATGTAAACTATAGTTTTGTTGAAATGTTGTTTAGGTATTAGAAAACGTGTGTAACCATTAATTACTTGGCTATCATCTAGTGTTTTAATCCCTTATTTCATATGCAATGTTTTAATCCCTTACCTTATATGATATCCGTTGGTTTAATCCTTACCTTATATAATATTTGTTGCTTTAATCCTTTCCTTATCTGATATCCGTTGTTTCATCCTTACCTTATCTTATATCCTTTGTTTTAATCCTTCCTTCATCTGATATCCATTCTTTCGATTCCTTACCTTATCTAGTATCCGTTGTTTCCATCCCTTACCTTATCAGATATAAGACTAGTTATCTAGTAATTTCAAACGCCTACCTTGCCAGACGAGTGTACTTCACTAGTGGCTTTGGTCCATACATATAAGCATATTCCACAAGCTTAGCATAATCATAATCCCGTGTGCCGGTCCTGTGTGGAAAAAGCCATAATCATGCGGTGAACTTCATTTTAACAGTTTTATTTGACGTGGAATGAGAACGTGGAAATTAAAACACTGGAAAGGAAAACTGACGTAATTTTAATACTGTTGCGTCAGCGAGTCACATGACACTGTGACGCAACGGTT